AGGAGAGGAGGAGAGGAGGAGGGAGGGGAGGAGGAGGAGGAGGGGAGGGGGGAAGGAGGAGGAGGAGGAGGAGGAGGAGGAGGAGGAGGAGAAAGGGGGGCTGGGACGGCCTCGGTGTACGCTTTCGCGGCGGAGCGCCGAGGGGGGAAGAAGCGAGCAGAAGGGCTGGCCTCCGCAACAGGCGGCGGGGCTTCGCAGAGGCCCCCTCTGGCTTGCTATGGCTCCAGAGACGGCTCACAGAGCCTTCTGAGCCTCCTCCTCCTCCTCCTCCCCTCCTCCTCCTCCCCTCCTCCCTCCTCCTCCTCCTCCTCCTCCTCCTCCTCCTCCTCCTCCTTCCCCCGAAGGCTGGTGGCCCTCGGAGCCTTCTGAGAGAAGGCCCGCCCTCTCTGCTGCCTCTCCCCCTGGGGCGCGCCGCCCGATGCACCACGTCGTCGAATCCCGCCAAGGAGCTCGGCGAGCAGACGCCCCGGCTTCCCTTGCCTATGGGATCCTGTGGCGTCTGCGCACCCAATCCCCCCCTTGACGTCATATTGTTCCCGCAACGCCGACCCCGAGAAATACGGACCTATTCGCTGGGACCCGCTCATCCTCGCGACTCGTGCTGTTGAGGGTCCCGGGACCCAGTACCCATCGGTCGGAAGAAGTAGGTAGAAACATGAAGTAGGAAGGCGTTGGAAATAAATTGGGTTTCCGCACGCCTCCTGAAGAGGAAGGAAGAGGGAAAACCACTCGACTCTTGAAGTGGGAAGGCGCTGAAAGTAGATTGGAATCTGGGAATCGAAAAATACCTACTTTCAACGACCGATGGTAAGGGTGCCCCTTCCGTCGTGTTTTTTTCGCGACGCGAGCGCGTATTGGCACCAAGTTCCCTCGCCAGAGCGGGCAGCTCCGTGGCCGACCAGGTGGCGTGGCGCACGCGTGGAGCACCCCCCCCGCCTCGGCGGCGAGTGAGGGGGGGGAGTCAGAAGGAGAAGGCTTTCTCAGAAGACGGCGGGACTTCCCAGACTCTCCCGCGCCTGCTGAGTTTTCAGTCTCTGGGGAATGAATGAATGAATGAATGAATGAATGAATGAATGAATAAATGAATGAATGAATGAATGCCAGCTGGGTGCCGAAACACATGGGCACTGATGCAACACTATGGGCAGTACTGTCGCACAGCGGTTTTCCAGGCTTCTGCCGGAAGTACAGCGAGCTGTCGAAAATCATACGCATTGCTCTCGCAGGCTCTCTTTGCATGTTCATACAACTCATTCGAGTATGCTTGTTTCGGCCTGCCCCGGGGGTGTCTGCTGGCCGGCGGACGCAATTTCCAATCATTCGGCTGGAAGACCGCACGCCGCACCAAATGATCATCTGGGTGCCGGGCGATGTGCGCAAAAACCTTGGAAAACTTCTCAGAACCCCGGGGGACTTCTGAACCTTTCTTTCGATTCCAATCCTCGCTGGGTTTTGTTTGTTTGATGCTGCAGACGGTCGGCGCGCACGCCGAGCAGTGCGAGCAGCGCAGGCGCGGTGGCCGCGGATAACGCCCTGCCATATCCTCCTCATGATCTTCCCCCCTCATTGCCCCGCCCCTCCTCTTCCTACCTCCCTCTTCCTCTCCTACTCCGTCCCCTCTTCCTCTTCCTGTTTCTCTCTCCCTCTCCTGTTCCGTCCACTCCTCCTCTTCCTGTTTCACTCTCTTCCTCTCCTACTCCGTCCACTCTCCCTCTCCTATGCCGTCCTCCGCCCCAGACCCCGCCCACTCTTCCTCTTCCTACTTCCCCTGCCCAGCCTCGTACACCACCGGCACCACTGGCACCTCCGCCTCGCCTCGTGCTCTCCATGCTCGCTCGCTCTCCGCAGGCCTGCCCGTGCTCCTCCTCCTCCTTCATCTCCCTTCCCGCCTCGTTCTCCTCGCCCTCTCCCCCTTCCAGCCCGCTCCTTCTTCATACCCTCCTCCACCTGCTCCGCCTCCTGCTCCGCCTCCTCCTCCTCCTCCTCCTCCTCCTCCTCCTCGTCCTCCTCCTCCTCATTCTCCTCCCCGTCCGCCCCACCACAACCTCAGTTCTCCGCCCCGTCCCGTTCTCATTACCCGCCTCCTCCCCCCCCCCCCCCCCACCCACCCACCCCACCTACCCTTTTGGGCCTCTCGGTCTACCCTTCGGGGCCTCGGGCTGTCTTTGGACCCCTGTGGGCCCGTCTTGGCGCTCTCTTGGGGCTCCCCTTGGCCCAGTGTGGCTGCTTTGAGCCGCTGTCGGGCGACTGAGTGCCGTCCTGGGCCCAGGCTACTCTCTCACGCGGGGTACTTTTCCACGAGCTCGGGAAGGGTTCAGAGAGAGAGAGAGAGGCAAAGAGAGAACGTGAGAGAGAGAGAGAGGAAGAAACCAAGAACAAAAGCAACGTCGTAAATCCTCTGGCACAATGCGTTCGAGTCGGGCCCCCCCGGGGGGCCAATGCCCGCTCAAAGCTGGCCCCCGGCCAGTTTCCCCAGCAGCCCGGAGGCGTGGCGACTGGCATTTCCAGAGACAGGCCCAAAGATACTCGTCGTCGTCGTCGCCGTCGCCGTCGTCGTCGTCGTTGTCGCCGCGGTCTCCCTGGCGGTGGGCGTCGTGGCCCACGCGGAGGCGTCCACCCACGGCTGCACCATCTGCCCCGAGCCACCCAGCGGCACGCCGAGCTTGCCCAGCGCGGCCGTCAGGCGCGCCTCGGCCTCGCAGGAAACACACGCAGACGAGGGCCGAGGGCCAGCGGCGGCGGTGGCGCTCTGTGCGGGCAATCTTTATATCCACAGCCATAGCGTCTTGGACTTTTGGGGAAGGGGTGCCTCAAGGCCGAGGCGCACTGGATATGGGTAAACATCTCGCCTTTTTGGGCCAGAATTCTATCCATATCCAGTGCGCCTCCGGCTTCTCGGGAAGAGAGTCCAAAGCTCCAACACGCACTGGATGTGGATATAACTATTGCCCGCACTCTGCAGGTGCACGGGGCAGACTGCTGGCACGTCAGGCAACTCGGCGACTGTTCAACAGCCTGGAGCGCACTGTATCAAGCGGTGCTTCCGCACTGGGGAGAGGGCTCGAGCGCGCAGCGGCTAATCCAGCTCGGAGGTATGCCTGGGGACAGGCCGCGCAAAGGAGCCTCCAGGATGGAGGTAAGGTACTGGATGTCATGGAAAATACTGCTCCTGTAAAAGAAAAGGCGTCGCCAACCCCCTGGCCACTTCCGGCCAACCCTTCTAAGTGACGCAAGAAGTGCTGGAAGCGAGCGGGCTTGCTCGGACTGAGCTTCCTGGTAACAACGCTGGCAGCGTGATGGCCATCGCGTAAGTGCGAGCACGCAAGGAGTGAACTTCTGGGCGGAACTGCGGGCCATGCGGTATGCACCACAAGCGAGCCGGCATGCCCAGAAAGAACTTCCTGGCTACAGCGCTGGCCATGCGATGTCTGGCACCCGCGAACCAGCACGAGTGGAGTGCGCTTCCTGGCATCAACCATGGCAACATGAAGATCATCAGGTGCGAGCGGGCACGCCTGGAGTGAGCCTCTGGGCAAAAGGCTGACGCGTTGGCGGAAGGTTGACGCGTTGGCGGAAGGTTGGGTAATTAGTTGCGCAATTGATGGGTCAGATTGCACACATAAAACCAACAACATAGGTAATTAACGAATGCGTGTAAAATGTCTACATATGCCTAAAAGGGGAGCAGCAACGATACACACAGAAACTATACAAAGACATGCGTATGTAAGACGGTAGGAGAAAGAGAGAGAGAGAGAGATGAAGATGCCCAAGAGAGCGAACACGCCGGGGCCCCGCGAACACTCCATCACAAGATTTCCCCCATCTCCCCCCTCCGTACTCCCAAGACCCCCCAAGAGGCCAACAAGAACCCCTCAGAGGGACCCCGAAACCCCCAAGCTTCGCAAAGGCTCCAAGAATCCAACCCGATACCTCCAAGAGGACAACAAGAAACCAGCCGGAATCGACGCGGAGAAAAAGGATGCCGAATCAGCAACGACTATACGAAGGCAACACGTTGAGAAATGATAAACAACACACAGGACCCCGTAGGTCGCACATGTCCTCTTTGGGGGGTCGGCGGAATGGCGTAAGCCTCTTTGACACTGGAGAGGCACGTGTAGATCGAAAAGGATTTACAGGGAGGACTAAATATAGCACACCACGTCAGAGCGATAACACGACACATGCATACAAACAAATGTACACGTACAGAGAGAGGAGACGCACACACATACACACACATATATATAAGAGAGAGAGATACATATATATATAGGAAGATGACGCAAGAGACAGAGAGAGAGAGAGAGAGAGCGACACAGAGAGGTAGATAAAGAGACATACACAGCGATTAAGAGAGAAAAAGAGAAAAAGAGAGACACTCACACACACCAGACATGAATCTACACATGGGAATGTACAGAAAACGAGAGAGAGAGACAGATAGACAGAGGAAGAGAGAGAGAGAGAGAGAGAGGAGAGGGAGGGAGAGGAACAGGAGTGGAGCAGCAGGGAAGAGAGAGAGCAGAGAGGACGGGAAAAGCTAGGTGCGCTCTCATATCTTACATCCTTCCCACCCATCCCTCTCGATTGCGCTGAATTTCCTCCATCCACGGGCGCGTGTCATAGCGGACGAGAGATTCCAAAACAGACCGCATCGCGTTAGGCGCAGTCGGAAAAGAGGAGCTACGTACGCAGGATGAGGAGGGAGAAGGCGGAGGTGGCGGGTGAGCAGGAAGATGAGCATGAAGAGAAGAAGAAGAAGAAGAAGAAGAAGAAGGATGACGAGGCAGGAAGAGACGAGGACAAACAGTTCCGGCGGAGACTGAGGTGGATCAAGCGGAGGGACAGGAGAGACCAGGGGAAAGCGAGGAAGGGGAACAGAGAACAGAAGGGGGCGAAAACGATTTGAGTTGAGGGATGGGACAAGCGCCCCTACCCTGGGTTGCACGTGCGTGCCCTGTAAACCTCCCGCGACCTCCCAAGAGCCAGAGGGCCGCCAGTGGGCCGCGCGAGGCGAGCGATAGGCAGGGTTATCCTGTCGGCCCACAGGAGGTTCAGCGCGCATCACCTCGTCAACCAGGGTAGGGGCGTTTTTGTTGAGCCCTTGATTGAAGGGACTCGGATCCAGAAAGGTGGCCTGCGCTGGGGCGAGAGCGCAACTCGGAACGCATGGGGGCGAAGCGCCGACCCCAATAGGAGGCCAACGCTTCCGCGGCAGCACCACTCTGGGACAGCGAAGTCGTTCCGATCGAGAAAAAGCCATGGGACAGACTGAATACTTAACGCCCATGCTCCTATGCTTAAACACGATACGCGGAGGGGTGCGGGCCACTCCCTGGCCATGTTTGGGAAGAGAGGGCAGACGTGTTCACATCAAGCTAAATGTGCTCAGGCCTCATTTGACATCCTATCCGTCCATGCCATCCTTTCCCATTGCGCTGATGTTTCTCTATCCGCGGACGCATGTCATATACGACCTGGGAAACCATCAAGCATGCCCTATATCGCGTTAGGCGCAATCAGAAGAGGGGAGCTGAGAGCTGCGTACATAGAAGGAGATGGCGGGCGAGCAGGAGGATGTGCAGGAGGAACGGGAGGAGGATGTGAAGGAGGAGGACGAGGAGGAACTCCAACACTAGGAACTGGATTGAAAGAGCGGAGGGACAGGAGGACCCGGGTGCGGAGGGGAAATGAGGGGGGCGGCAACGATGAAGAAGGGCTCAGATCTGGAAAAGCGGCCCACGCTGGGGCGAGAGCGCCAGTCTCAACGACGGGGGCAAAGCGCCGTTGCGAAAATGAGGCCTACGCTGCAGCGAGAGTACCATTTCGAGGCAGCGACAACAATCGGAATGTAAAACCCAATGCGAAAGACTGTCTCGCCCACACCATGTGCAAAACACGATACGCGGAGGGGGGCTGATATTCTCTGCACATGGTCGGGAGAGCGCGGAGAGTAGTACTCATGCTGTGGATATGGTGGGTGTGTGGAAGGATATCAACTGACAGCACCGACGAGAGAGCGAGAGGGAGAGATGAGACAAAGAGTTGAGGATATCCCAAATCAGAAAGAGAGAGAGAGAGAGCGAGAGAGGAAAAGGGAGGGAGGCAAGAGAGCTGACGACATTTCGGGATATAGAGAGAGAGAGAGAAAGACAACAAAACACAAAGAGTGAGAGATAGAGTGGAATCTGGAGAGAGAGAGAGAGAGAAGCGAAATACAGAGACAGAAAGAGAGAGAGAGAGAGAGAGAGCGAGAGCGACGCATAGATGACCAACACGAAGAGAGTATGGCTGGTCGCAGGCCGACCACGCCCTCGTTAGCAACACCGAAAGACGTACCCTCGCGTGATCCGAGAACTCCCTCGTGGGCCCAAGGCTTGGGAGACCACAAGATACCGATACCGCTACTCCCCGTGCCTCGCCCGGGGTGCGCTCCGACCAGGACTGCGAGGCGAATCCAGCGGCGTCGACAAGGGCCTCCCAGGAGGCCCGACAAGGGGAAAGCGAGGCGGAAGTAGCGGTTTTGGGTACCTCTTCCTCCGCCGAGGACGTGCCCTCGCGCGCTCTCCGAGAGCTCCCCCTCGCGGGCGCGGGAGGGCGGGAGGCGCGCCTCGAGCGCACGCCGCTCCCCCTGAGGCCGACGCAGGCGTCGGGGAGGCGTAAGACTCGGCTTCGGGGGGACTCGGGTTGGCCACACCGACGGGGCCGTCCAGAAAAGGACGAGACTCCACCTGAAACTCGACGCGAGCTCCCGCTGCAGGCATCCCACGGACACTGGACCGTCAGAATCCAGGACGGGCCAAGCAAGAAAGCTTCGGCTAGCCCGGGTTCCTGAGTATTGTTTAACCGATCCCCATCCCCAGCGGCGTGGCCTGGGCCCCACTTGCCGATTTACCCCCCTAGATGGGGATATAGGCCGTTCCCTTCGGGTTTCGAGGGGTGCATCCCCAACTGGGGGGGGAATTAATCCGGTGGGGGTCTCGAAGGGGATTTTGGACGCCCGAAATGGGTACGGAAAGAATGGGTACAATGCCCAACAACAACTGCTGTCCCAAACCTTCAGCGGCCGCTGTTGGGCAGGCGGCCTTCTGTCTCAAGTGGACACAGGCCGCGGCGGCGCGGACAGCGAGTCCTGTTCAAAATGAACAGGAACTGCTGTTCGGCGTTGTACCCATTCTTTCGGTACCCATTTCGTTCGTGCAGAGGCATGGGGATGGGGATGGGGGTCGGGTCAGCGATACTGAGTTCTGGCGCGCTCGAGTCTTACGACTCCCCGACAAACGGAGGGCGGAACAGCGCGCGCCGGGCAGAGCGCCTGCTGCCGCCTCGGCGAGCAGCGGCCGCCCCACGCGCCGGCAGGCGCCGGGCGAGAGGGATGCCAGGATGCGGTTGGCTACCATGGGAGGCCCCATGCGAACCCTATAGGGCAGTTTCTAATACATAGGATTTTAAAACTATCGGATTTGAATACAGGGTGAATTTATGAATACATGTATGCATGAACTCATCGTTGTTTTTAATACTAAATCCCTGCATTCTTAATGTATTAAAAGCGGTACTGTACCCCACCACCCCACCTCCCCCCTTAGAGATCATGGGGTGGTGGGGTAGGGCTCGCATGTGGCCTCCTAGCTTCGAGCGCCGCTTACAGAGGGCAGAGAATCCCCCCCACAGAAGAAGCACCCGAGCAAGCGAAGCCGTGTAGTAAGCGAGCCCGAGGAAGGCGTCGAACAGGGCAGGCCCGTTTAGTAAACGCCCAGGGCCGTTTCGTAAACGCCAGTTGTCGGGGTCGGGGTGGTGTTCCCGCCCCCTGGGCTTCAGGAGTTCAGCTAGCTTGCTCCACTATGCGCTCCAGGATGCGCGCCAAGAACATATCGGCGGCGAGCGAGATGGGGAAGTGAGAAGGAGAAAACCTTCTCACAAGGCGGCGGGGCTTCTTAGAAGCCATCCGGCCTTCTGAACAGTTTCCTGTGTCTTCGGGAACGCTCAGAACACTAATCAGAAGGCCGGGGAACTTCCGAGACTTCTGAGAAGACCCGCCCCTTCTCACTTCCCCCCGTGCTCGCCACCGAACATTAGCCAGCTGCATGCCAAGAATTTCGCTCCAATACTCCCTCCTGGAGTCACGGATCATCTAGCCAGCGGCCCTCGTTTCTGCAGCCCGAGTGGAACATCTGGCAATTTCGGAAATCTGGGAAATCGTGAGAGTCTGGAAAATCTTGGAACGCATCATGTGAAATTTGGTCTGCCTTCAATTTCTGGCAAGCTCGTTGCGTGCGCAACTTAGCGCAGGCGGGATGGGCGGGATTGCAGCAACGCTTCCCCACCTCCGCGGATATTTGCCCCAGAAGCCCCAGAGAGGACCGTGCTAATCAGCAACACGCATTTTGTACTGTACACGCCTTGAGTCCAAGACAACGAGTCGCAATGCCACGACCCCCTGCTCTTCTGAAAACCAATGTTGAGCAGGGACCGACCGTCCTGGCATTCCTATGGGCCTACTATGACATGTTCGTACAACCCGAAAGTATTCGAATACCAAAAGCAATGGTTTTCGAACATAAGCCAGACGTATTGAAACACGGCAGCCCCAGTCATAATTATTCTAAGACCATCTCGTGCAGACCACAAAAGGTTCTTAGATTTTGCGTGGTAGGCCTATCGGCAAACCAGGACGCTTCGCCGCTGCTCGACAGAGAGGCCGACGGCAGCGAGGCGTGGACGGGCCCGCGGGGAGGCCACGCGGGGCGCCCGCGGCGGCGGGGACGCGCTGGCGCCGACGCCGACGCCGACGACGCCGACCACGACGACTGGCGTCGCCGACTGACGATTGGGCGTCGCCTAAGTGGGGAGGCGGGCGGCACGTCGACGCCGACGACGCCAACGCCGACAACGACGGCGAGGCGCCCACTGGCGATTGGGCGTCGCCGAAGTGGGGGAGGGGTGGCGATACATGGGGGTGGGGAGAAAGAGTACTAGGCGAAGAAAAAACTCCATAATAAGCTTTTGGCGCTTCGCGGGGATTTATTTGTACCACTCTCCCTGGCGCGCGGAGCGCGCCAAGGGATGCGCCGGAGGCCCAGCGCGTATCCAAGAAATCCGTGCGGAGCGCCGAAAGTTTATGTTTCTGGCGTTTTCTCTTCTTCGAATGTGCTTCTCGGGCCCCCAAGGGCCCCTCTGGGGGCCCTGAAGGGCCCCCCATCGAGGGCCCCTTCCCTGCGACCCTCGCTGCCCCCCCCCCCCTTGGTCGCCCCCGCCTTGCGCGACGCCCAAGGCTGGCGCCAAAACCGACGACGCCGACGCTGACTCTCGGGGCGGACGGTGGGGGCGGATAGTAGGGGGCCACATGCGAACCCTACCCCTACCCCCCACGATTTCTGAGGGGGAGTGTGGGGTTTCACTTCGCTCGGGAGCTCCCGATCGAAGTGAAACCCCACCCTCCCCCTCAAAAATCGTGGGGGGTAGGAGTAGGGTTCGCATGTGGCCCCCTAGAGAGACCCGGGGCGGGCGTGGCACGGATTCGCCCGGGAGCCTCGCCGAAGACACATGGGCGATCGGAGGCTCTGGATACACGCATCTGGGGAAACCAAAAGGTGCAGGTACCGCTGCTCCCTGGACCTCTCCCAGGGTGCAATCTGACCAGGGTTTCGAGGCGGATCTAGCGGCGGCGACGAGGGCCTCCAAGGAGGCCCAGGAGGGGAAAACGAGGAACGGGTAGAGGTATGGACACCTTTGGCCTCCTCTGATGTTTGCTCTCCCCTGTGCTCTTGGCCCCAGTCGTCGCCTCCGAGCCGGTGCCGACCACGACGGCGAGGCGCCGACAAGGACGAGGCGGGCCCTGGAACGGCGGAGGGGGCGCGGCAGCGGCGGCGCCGCCGCTCGTGGCGCCTCGGGAGTGAGGCCCGCGTCCAAGGGCTGCAGGCCCTCCCTCAGGGCGTCGGTCCTCTTCCGCTCCGGGGGGGGGGGGGGGCAGGGAGGGCCACCCGGGAGTGCAGGGGCACTGCTGGGAGGAGCGCGGAGCGAGGGGCGGAGAGAGGAGGAGGAGGAGGAGGAGGAGGAGGAGGAGGAGGAGGAGGAGACGCGGGGCGCTGCTAATTCCAAACGAAGACCCAACACCTCAGGATGGCTGGGAAAGGAGCACCGTCATACATACATACATCCATCCATACAAACATACATACATGCATGCATGCATGCATGCATGCATGCATGCGTGCATGCATGCATGCATACATACATACATACATACATACATACATACGTACATGCATGCATGCATGCATGCATACATACATGCGTGCATACATACATACATACATACAGACAGGCAGACAGACATACATACAGACATACATATAATGTTTCTATAGCTAAGGTCAAGACTGCACCATTAGACGTTTGTGTGGTGCTCAGGGGGGGGAAACTTGTGTGAGCCGATGGGGCGAAAAACTGGCACTTCTCCTCATGGAGGCCTCCTAGATCCTAGATGGGATTGGACTAGACGGGGTCGGAGAATCGTTCCGCATCGCCCATACATCAGCGATGCATCGGCGATGTATCGGCGATGCATCGGCGACTCCAGCGTTGAGAAAATCGACCTCTACATCGAGCCGCATCGCCGATGCATCAACGGTACTGCGCGATCCTCCGATCCCATCTACACGGACCCCATCTAGGAGGCCAGTCGGAGGGTCGGGCCGGTCGTTTCGCCTGAGGCTTCCTCACCAATTCTGAGCATGAGGCTTAAACACTGGGAACCGTTTCACGGATCGAGTGCGAAGCGGAGTGAGACGAAGCCAGGACGAGGATCAATCGACTGAAGACAAATCGAGAATATCGGAGATCAAGCGTCTGTGGAGGATGTATTGAGCGCCGCAGCCTTCTCAGAGCGTTCCGGAACGCTCTGAGAACGTTCAGGAACGCTCTGGAACGGATTTATGTTCGTCGTGACCCCATCGGGTGGAGGGCAAGCAAAAACGGCAAGGTCGTGTTTTTTGCTGCTGGCTCCGCTGTACATCTCGTGGTGTTCCGCTTCCGTGGCCGCTTATTGTCTGGTCCCGTCGCCGCTGCTGTTCCGGTTCCGGTCCAGGTCTGATGCCAGCAGTGATTTTTCCCGTTTCGGTGAGCAACGCTTAACGTATTGGCACAATCAAGAGCGCGATTGTGGGAAACGAATCGGCGTCGCGCACAAGGAGGTAAGGGGAGGGGGGGAGGCTTCATAGGAGGCTGCTTCTTAGAAGGCGCTGGCCTTGCATCTACAGAGAAGGCCCGCGCTCTCTAAGAAGCAGGGGTGCTCCTAAAAAGCATTCCCCCCTCCCCCTACCCCCCTCTGCGCGTGACCGAACGAAGAGAGTGCCCTGCTGCTTCCAAGGCCCAGGCTGTGATGGGAGAAGGACGACAAGGAAGGGAGGGAGTGGTCCGGCGGTCCCTGGGGGGAGGGGGTTCCAGGCCGACTGGGGCCAGGTTTTGCGTATGACGAGCAGGAGGATGATAATGATGATGAGGAGGAGGAAGAGGAGGAGCAGGAGGAGGAGGAGGAGGGGGAGGAGGGGGAGGGGGAGGAGGAGGGGGAGGGGAGGGGGGGGAAAGAGGAGAAGAAGGGGGAGGAGGGGGAGGAGGAGGCGGAGGAGGCGGCGGAGGAGGAGAAGGTTGACCAGCACAGCGTGACTGCTGGAAGGAGGAGGAAGAAGAGGTGACTGCGCGAAGGTTCTGACCATTCGTGGCTGACTGCGGACGAAAAGGACAGATAGAATCGGCACGCACGGAAACGACACACGATGTGCACGCGATGTTGTGGCATTCGGCATTACGTATGTCTTTACATATGGCCATACATGACTTCATGACCTTAATTCGGCTAGCACGGAAACGCAATTCCGACGCGACTGAGACTGAGCCGCGAGTTAGGCACTCACTTCGGGGCTTGCATCGCCTTAGACACGCGAACATCAAAATGCTGGGTAAATCGCCACTAGTATGCTCCCGCCTGAGAGAAGCTGCAAAATGCAATGTCGCGTCTGCATCAGTTAAGCACCGTCTTCCAAGGGATCCATTCTCCCGCCTCCGTCCTTCTTCCCCCACTGCACCCCCCTCTTCTCCATCTGTACCCTCCTCCACCCCTCTAGAAACTCTCTGGAGGTCTCCCGGGGTCAAACACGGAGCTTTCTGGAGACCTTCGATGGTCCTGTCGATGGTCATCAGAAGTTGTGCTAGTGTCAAGGTGTGCGTGGTCGCCGAAGCCCTTCAATACGACGCAGGACGTGCAAATCGGGCCGACACAACTGTCGTGCAATCGGCGGAGCCGAACGGAAAGCCAACAAACACACACACACACACACACACACACACACACACGTAAACACACACACACGCACACACACGCACGCACGCACGCACTCACGCACGCACGCAAGAACGCACACGCACACACACACACACACACACACACACACACACACACACACACACACACACACACACACACACACACACACACGCACACACGCACACACACACACACACACACACACACACACACGCGTAAACACACACACACACAACCGCACATTCTTTGAGTCGGCGGCAAGGCAGAGTCACTGCGCTGGCGGGTAAGTAACACACACACACACATATTTGCGGTCGCGGCCTCGCGCGCAGCGACGAGACGGAGAACACACACACACACAGGGCTGAAACAGTCTCATCGATCCTGGCAGGGGCCCGCGAGGCCTCCGCGGAAGCCCCTCCTGAAGAGGCCTCCGAAGGCACGGAGACGCCAAAAACAGACATCCTCGATCCCTGATCCTTCAAGTTTCCCTGCTCCGCCTTCCCCTGGTGCTTCTGCTCCCCCCGCTTCTTCCACTCCATTTCCTGCTGCTGCTGTTTCGTCCTCGTCCTCCTCTCTCCACATCCTCTTCCTTTTTCTCTTCCGTTTCCTCCTGCTCATCCTCCTGTTCACTCGCCTACTCCTCCTCCTCCTCCTCCTCCTCCTCCTCCTCCTCCTCCTCCTCCTCCTCCTCCTCCTCCTCCTCCTCCTCCTCCTCCTCCTCCTCCTCCTCCTCCATCCTCCTCCTCCTCCTCCTCCTCCTCCTCCTCCTCCTCCTCCTCCTCCTCCTCCTCCTCCTCCTCCTCCTCCTCCTCCTCCTCCTCCTCCTCCTCCTCCTCCTCCTCCTCCTCCTCCTCCTCCTCCTCCTCCTCCTCCTCCTCCTCCTCCTCCTCCTCCTCCTCCTCCTCCTCCTCCTCCTCCTCCTCCTCCTCCTCCTCTCCTCCTCCTCCTCCTCCTCCTCCTCCTCCTCCTCCTCCTCCTCCTCCTCCTCCTCCTCCCCTTCCTCCTCCTCAACTACACGCCACGAGTGGCCCTGGGCACGGGCGGCCTTCCGTGCCGATCGCGGCTCGCGGCACGTGACACTGCACCGTGGCGGCCCGCGTGCCCTGGGCTGCTCCGCGCCTCCCGGAAGCCGCGCACCAGGGGTCTCCCCAGCGAAAGGACACGCTGCTCGTAACCAGCGCCCTCCCTCGGGGCGCAGGTCCTGTTCCGCTCGGGGAGGGGGAGAGGCAGGGGGGGCAAAGCGAGAGTGCGCTCCTCCTCTTCGTCCTCTCCTACTCCTCCTTCTTCTCCTCCTCCACTTCTTCGCCTCGCGAAGAACTTAGAGGCCTCCTAGATCCTAGATGGGGTCGTGATAGATGGGGTCGGAGGATCGACCGTGCAGTGCCTCATGTGGTGGTGGTGCTCAGGATGCCGGTTCGCGTGCTCGGGGCCAACAGACCCTGGGGAGCCTCGTGGCCGTCGTGTGCGACGTGGTGCGTCGCAGAGCGGCTCTTCGTTCTGTTCCTTCCTTCGCTCGTGGTGGCGCCAGGCTCCCTCCCACTCCCTCCCTCCTCCTGCCCTTCACGCCCGCCGCGGTTCTCTTGGATCTGCGCTGGACCCCTCTGGCGGCGTCCCTGGCGCCGCCCCAGGCGCGCTTCTCGCGCCAGGGAGGAGGAGGAGGAGGAGGAGGAGGAGGAGGAGGAGGAGGAGGAGGAGACGAATAAGGGGGGGGGAGGGGGAGGAGGAGGAGGAGGAGGAGGAGGAGGAGGAGGAGGAGGAGAGGAGGAGGAGGAGAGGGAGGAGGAGAGGAGGAGGAGGAGGAGGAGGAGGAGAAGGGGAAGAAGGAGGAGAAGGAGGAGAAAGAGGAGAAGGAGGAGGAGGACCTCCGAAACTCTATGCGTCGAGAGCCGCCGTCCCGACCAACGCTCGGCTCTTGGCTCACCGGTGGGCGAGTAAACGACGAAAGGGGCGAAATGAGCGTGGGCAGTTCGCGTGCCGCTCCGGGGGCCCGCGGTGGCGGCGTGGGAGTCGAAGAAAGGGCCCCCCTTCGGGGCCGCTGCCCTGCGGCCCCCTAGACTGCCCACGCTCGTTGCGCCCCCGCTGCCGTCCCCCAGCAGGCGGGGGCCCGGGCCCCCCGCCCCCCCCCCAGTCTTGCTCTGGAACGGGGACAGCTCGCCGTGCTGGACCAGCTCGGCCACCACCTGGGCGGGAGGTCGTCGCCGCCGGCGGCGGCGCTGCCCTTTCTGGACCTTGCTGGAACGGCAGCCAGCGGGAAGGAATCGAGAAATGTGGACGTCTACGCTATGGGGCAGTCGAACGGGGGGCGATCGAGATGGAAGGGGCCCCAACGGGCCGCTGAAGGGCACTTGCGGCTCGAAGAGGTGCTGAAAAGGGTGCGCCTTTCTTCACAAGCCCGTTTATGGCGACAGAAGCACCGAAAAACGATTGAACCGACAACGAAACCCTAACCAACCTGAAATCGACTGGCCACAAACAACCTAGAAAGGCGCAACGACGCGGCAACAACACGATAGATGACCGAGCCGAACCAACCTAGTACAAGAAACTGCGACGCAACCGAACCGAACGAACCGCGCACAGATCTGCTTCAATTCTCGTGTATTTCCCCTCCCTCGCCGTCCGCCTAATCTTTCTTGGAAGGTTATGGTAAGCCTCCGTAGGCCTCCGAGGCGAAACCTTCGTGGGCCTCCACGGGGACCTCCAAGAGGCCTCCGCGGACGACCTTCAGAGTATTCATATAAGATGAGGCCTCGCCGTCGCTGGGGGCTGCGAGCCGCAAAGCTGTCTTCTGTGGCCTCTGAGCGGTCCAGCGGAGTGACGTCCTCTTCCACACAATTGAGACCTCGCCATTGCTGGGAGCTGCGAAATGCAAGCTGTCGGCACTTTCGTTGGCCTCTGGGGGTCCACGGGGATGACGTCCTACTCGGATCGGATGAAACATCGCTGTCGTTGGAGGTTGCGAGCTGCGAGACTGGCGGCGCCTGCGTGGGCCTCTGGGAGGTCCAGCGGTCCGCGGAGTGACTTCCTACTCGGGTATGATGAATGAAGGGGCCCCAGGACACACAAATAAATATACAGAAATAAAAAGATTCCCCATATTTGCCCATATTTTCTGTGTTTCTGTCTTCCCCCCCACTTCCCATATTTTCCCATCTTTTCTACTGAATCGACGATTAATTGTGTCTGTGTGTTTCTTTCCCTCCTGAATGAATCCTTGCCGCCGCTGGTTCAGTTCCCGCAGTGACGTGTGGAGGAGGGAAGCGGAGAGGCAGGAGGGCGAGCTGGGCCTGGCCTCCTACACCATTCATGAACGGCTGACCAGGCGGGGCGATAGGGGGGCATGCCGACGGCATCGATGCCCATCAGCGAGCCACTCGAAAAAAATCGTCCCCCTCCTGCTCTCATCTCTCCTCCCACGTCGTCGTCTTCTGCCCTGCTCCGCGATTGATTTTCGTTTTCGCCCCCCTGCAGTCGTTTCCCCCTGTCGTGCCGGCACCCTTCCCTTTTCGGGCCTGAAGCCGCACTCCTCGTCCTTCCACTGCTGTCCTGTGAGTCGTGCAGCGCGCGCGCATCGCATATAGCTTGCGCAGGGGGACAGAGGACACACAAGCAGGAAGGCGAGATGAGAAGGGGAGGAGGAGGAGGAGGAGGAGGAGGAGGAGGAGGAGGAGGAGGAGGAGGAGGAGGAGGAGGAGGGAGGGGAAGGAGGGAGGGGAAGGAGGAGGAGGGACGACTTTCTGTTCCCCGCCGAGGGGTCAGGGGGAGGGGGGCGCAGCACTAAAGAATCCGTAGGGTTGTTTATCCATGGTGGTACTCGGGGATGGCGAAGAGGACGAATAAACTGAGGGGAAAAACCAGCAGACATAGCAGAGAACATCCCCAGCCCATGAATGCCCGTGCATGCACGCGCCAATAAATCAATAGGCGCGGGGGCGCGCCGAAACGCGAGAACCTTGGCCTCGCCTGCCGCGCAAGAGTGGCCCGGCCCGCCTCGAGCGCGAGGTACGTTGGCGCTTCCCGCAGCTTCGTGGCCTGGCAGCTTTGCCTGACCCCCGCAGCTGCTTCCATCAAGTCAAGACAGAGACATCAAGACGAGGAACGCGACGACCCCGACTGCGGACAAGGGCCCACCCTTCCTCCGTGCCTCGTGGGGGACCCTTCTGGGCCAGGCTGAACAAATCTGCAGCCCCGGGGAGGTGGAAAGACGAAGACGGGCACGCGGAGAGCAACGAAGAGGGTGGAGAAATGCAAAATTGATGGGCTTGTTTTCCACCGCCACCACCACCATAAGTTGGAGGGGGGAATGAGGTGGAGGATGATGATGATGATGAGGAGGAGGAGGACCTCCTCCCCCTCCAACTGATGGTGGTGGTGGTGGTGGAAAACAGGCCCACCAAAAATAATGAGCTGAAGACTGCGCACGGAGCCGACCGGCCAGCAGAAAGCACCCGGCGGCCCGCGCGGATCTGACGATCCTGCTCCATGCCTGAGCTGACACCCGTGCCAGCCAAATTGGCACGGGCGTCAGCCGAGGTATGGCGAAGGATCCCTCCCGTTTGCTCCTCCACGTTGGGCTTCTCTCTCTCACAGACGCACACACACACACACTGCTGCTGCTGCTGCTGCTGCTGCTGCTGCTGCTGCTGCTGCTGCTGCTATTCCATCTGCTCCTCTCCATCCCGAGTCACTTGCCTCCGCCCCCTTCTCCTGCATCCATCTCCTCCCACCTCCCGTCTCAAAAGCCTCGTCCTCCACACCCTCACCCTATCTTCCCCCTCCTCAGAACATCCTCGCGCCCCCCCTCCCCCCCCACGATCCGACAGCGACAAGACACTTCACGCCGATCCCCAACTTTCAATTATTCGTTTCCTTCGCCATGTCCCTCCTAGTCCGGCGACGCTGGCGAAGATGCCCACTGTGCCGTTCGGCAAAAATGAAAACTGCGCCCAGAGAGCGCCTTGGCATTGCCAAGGGGCCTCGAGAGCGCCTCTGCCCAAGCAGGGCATGCGGAGACATATATCTATATCTATATATATATATATATAGAGCGCACGCTTGCACGAAATGCTGCCCCCCCCCTCCCCACCGAACAACATGCCCGCTCGGCAGAGGTATCTCCATCCACGAGCCTCAGGTGCGCCCGCCAGGGGCAAACCAGGACAACAGTCGACAAGCTGGCCTGTTGGTGTGCTGCTCCTGTCCATGACTTGTCAACCCTCGTGACTTGCTCCTCATCCTCAGCCATCACCATCACAATCCCCATCATGATGCACCCTGTTCTTCCTGGCGGCCCATCCCTGTTCCTCTGACTATTCCTCCTCCCTCTTCTGTTCGCCCTCCTCTCGCGATGCCTTGCCTTCTGACCGTTCTCCTCGTTCGCTTCCTCCTCGCTCCTGTTCCACCTTCTCATCCGTTTCTCTTACCAATCCCAACCCCCCCCCCGCGTCACCAGCCCTCCTGCCCGAGACCGCTGCCTCACCCGAAGCTGCTTTTCTGACTGCCTGCCGCAGGTCTGTGGCGCTGAAAACCGCGAATGAACAGGAGGGGGCCAAGAAGAAGGACAACACGAATGGACAAATGGACGTTCTCAAGAACGGCCGTCGACAACAGCATGAAAGACTACGAAGCCCGAATAGGACCGCACGCCGCCCTCCCCCGCAACACCACAGTACCTCGTCCCACTCCCCCTCCTCGAGATGCAAGATGCTCACCCTCCTCTCACGCAAAGTTCCTTCGCTCGCTTTGAGTCGATCATCCTTTCCCATGCGGGCGCAGAAATCGCAGAACCTCTTCGAGATACTGTGTGCCATTTCCTCGCCGCAGGCCCGACCCTGATAACCAGGCCTCCCTCCCATCCGCCCTCTTCCCTCCACCTCTGTCCGATGCCATACTCCCTCCTCCTGTTGTTGTTGACGATTGGTGCCATATTCCTCACCCTCCTCGCTCCTCTCTTTACACCCACATCCACCCTCCCTCCTTTCACTGCACATTCGCCGTTATCCCTTCTAGCTCCCCGGCTCACCGCTCCTTCCAAAAAAGGCGGCCACGCACGCATGAGGTGCTCAAGAACCTCCCTTGCAGGGACCAACCTAATCCAATGCACAACCATTCCTCGTTCCCTGCTCGCTTCCTCCACATACGTCATCAAAGCTCCTCCCTCATTCACTTCCCCTCCTCCTCCTACTCCTTCCTCCTCCTCCTCCTCCTCCTCATCCTCCTCCTCCGCATACTCCGCATCCTCACTCCAGCTCAGATCGTCTTTCTTCATGCCTGCCTACTTCCGATGTCCGCCTTGCTCGCTCTGGGTTCCTCGCTCGTCGATACCCCAGAACACACACACACACACACAAATCTCGTCCTACCCACCAGCATCCTCCATCCTTCCCCCCTCGCCCCTCCCTCCACTTCCTTCGTGCGTTCAGCCCCGCAGGCTTGGGCTGAGGCGGCTGCAAAACGGCCCTGTCGGCTGCAGCGGCACCGATGGTATCTTGTCGGAGAGGCCCCTCTTGCGGATGTACTGCAACAAGCAGCCCTCGGAACAAGGGGGTGGGAAGGGGGGGAGGCTATGAGACGGGGGAAGTGATAGAAAGAGAGAGAGAGGGGATATGGAACAGCGGGGAGAGGGGGCAGGGAGGCAGGAGGGGTGAGGAATACATGCGTACATACATACATGCATATGTATAGATAGAGAGAGGGAGAGAGACGGGAGTCAGAGAGGTCAGGGGAACAAGTCGAGGAAACCAATCGAGACAAGGTGAAGCATCAACAAGAAGATGGACTCAACAGCATGTCTCACACCGATCTGGCCAGCATGCGTGGAAGCCCGATGCGGGGCGTGAGGAGAGGGGGACGTGAGGAGAGGGAGGGGCGTGAGAAGAGGGGGACGTCCTTGGCGGACTCGATGTTGTAGCCGAACACTACCTTTCGCTTGCCGCCGCCCTTGCCGTCGTTACCCCTGATGGGCCCGGAGGAAAGGGGGCTCGAAGGAACCGGGTACTGGACACTGGGGCGTAGGGCTTCCCCCAAGAACAGCTGTTCATCCCGAGTCGGCGCCTCACGGCCTCAGGCCCTAGCGAAAAGGGCCCCGAGAGGCCGAACGCGGCGCAAGACCCGAGAACGCGATGTGGGGGAACAGAGCTTCAACACACGGCCACCGCTACAATCGGACCCAGGACAGACGAACATCCTCCAAGAACATGAGACCCTGCGCCGGCCAAAACGCACAGAACATCCAGGGGTGCCCCCCGCAGGATGCACAAAAACATGAAAGCAAACACGAAGAACATTAGGGTACCCTCCCTGTAACGACCTTCTGAGTATCGTTTATCCGACCCCCATGCCCAGCGACGTGGCCTGGGCCCCACCGGCCGATTTACCCACCTAGATGGGGATATAGACCGTTCCCTTCGGGTTTCGAGGGGTGCATCCCCAACTGGGGGGGGGAATTTGGTGGGGGTCTCGAAGGGGATGGGGATGGGGATGGGGATCGGATAAAAGATACTGACCTGATACCTCGGTCCGACCGTACTCTCGGTTCTTTGCCAACGTGCGCTCTGCACTGGACCCCGGTGCGGATCGAGCCGTGGCGACGACGGCCCTCCACGAGGCCCCCCAGAGAAGGAAAGCGAGGCAAAGGAATCGGCATCGGCATGCTTCTGATCTCTGACGTTTCCTCTGGAGGGATCATTTTTCTCCGTCCCATGATCAGAGACAGTCTGCACAGGGCGCAGGCACAAGCTCTGGGAGGCCCGCGCGGACCACTCGGACCCGCGCTTGCCCCCCCGGCCCGGCGCGCGTTCTTCGCGCGCCGCGCCGTGGGCTGCGCCAAGGGCCCGCGAAATCGGCGCGGACTTCCGCAAGTCTGTGCTTGTGCCGTCCTGCCTTCCTCGGTTCTGAGAGGGGGGAACGTCAGAGGCAGGGATCGGCCTGAACGGTGCTTCGGTGTGTTTTTGTTTTCGTTGTGTTTTCGTTGTTCAATCCGCCTCTGCTGCAAGACGAGGTCGGGAAGAAGAACGGTCCACGACATCGCCAAAACACCGTTTCGGTCGAGCCCCGGCCAGAGGGGGGACGGCAGAGGGGGGACGGGCTCAGGCGGGAAACGTCGAGCTGGAATCGGCGCCACATCGCCCATAGATCGGCGAGGGGCCCCTCACGACGAGTCCGGACGTTCCCGGGCGGGGAGGGCCATCGACGGCCCCCTATCGGCGACGAGTGGGCGATGGAGCGTCGATGCGCACCCTCCTGAGCCCTGGCCTTCCAGAGTGCCAGAAAACGGCCCTCCAAGCCTCTCGACCTATCTGGAGTGCTGAAAACCTCGACTGGGGTTTGGGCACCTAGGCTCAAGTGCTAGCCTGGAGCCCTCCTGGAAGGCCGAGGATCCTGTGGCCCCCCTGACGTTGCCCCTGACCTCCTCGACGCCTGGAGGCTTCCCCTCCTCCTCCTCCTCCTCCTCCTCCTCCTCCTCCTCCTCCTCCTCCTCCTCCTCCTCCTCATCCTCCTCCTCCTCTCCTCCTCCTCCTCCTCCTCCTCCCTCCTCCTCCTCCTCCTCCTCTCCTCCTCCTCCTCCTCCTCCTCCTCCTCCTCCTCCTCCTCCTCCTCCTCCCTCCTCCTCCTCCTCCCTCCTCCTCCTCTCCTCCCTCCTCCTCCTCCTCCTCCTCCTCCCTCCTCCTCCTCCTCCTCCTCCTCCTCCTCCTCCTCCGCCTCCTCCTCCTCCTCCTCCTCCTCCTCCCCTCCTCCTCCTCCTCCTCCTCCTCCTCCTCCTCCTCTCCTCCTCCTCCTCCTCCTCCCTCCTCCTCCTCCTCCTCCTCCCTCCTCCTCATCCTCCTCCTCCTCCTCCTCCTCCTCCTCCTCCTCCTCCTCCTCCTCCTCCTCCTCCTCCCCCTCCCCCTCCCCCTTTGACCTGCCTTCTGCGGCCGCGCGGGGCGATCCGGGCACCCCGCCCGGAAATTGCTCTCGGAGAGGCGCATAGCCGCTGGAGAGCACCCCGAGGCTGCTGCCCTGGGCTGGACCTGACCGTTGCTGTTCGTTGTGTTTCTCGTTTTGGGAGGCATAGAGATTGACACCAACACCAATTTCGGCGGTATGCCTCCACCAGGGGGAAGAAGATCCCGATCTCGGTGATGGTGGTAATATTCTGGCTTCCAAGGTGGCCGAACTATTACCACCAACACCGAAAATCTAGGATCATCTTTCCCCTGTGGAGGCAACCCTCTATCTTGGTGTTGGTGCCAATTTCCGGGCCTCCGACGTTTCGCTCTTTTCCTGCACTTCCCTGCCAAAGCGAAAAGCAAAACTCAGCCGACCGACGCCCTGCAAAACAGCGTTTGGGTCCAGCCCTGCTACTGCCGCTCAGGTCCAGCCCTGCTGCTGCCCCGGGCTGGACCTAACCGTTGCTGTTCGTTGTGTTTCCGTTTCGTTTCTCGTTTCGCTCTGCCTGTTGTCCTGCACCTCCCTGCCACAGCGAAAAGCAAAACTCAGCCGAGGCCCTGCAAAACAGCGTTTAGGTCCAGCCCTGCTACTGCCGAGAGCCGACGAAGACGCCCGAAAACCACAAGCCTCGAACACCGATCCCCCTGGGCCAAAAGTCTACGGTGGAAGCCAGTCCACAAGAAGCATTCCACAACAAAAAAAACCATGAGGCGCCAGGACGCCCACTGATTTCTGGTGTGGGAGTGTCACGCTCTCCATAGCAGAATCTCGAAACCCACGGAGCCCAGGGCCCCCTGAAGGCGAGCAGGGTGTTTCTTGGCATGGGCCTCCACTGTGTTGCCGAGGGCCCACGAAGGCGCCCGAAGACCTCTAACCTCGACGGCTCCCCCTGGGTCAAGAGTCTACGCCTGGACCCCTCCCCCAGCATTCCTATAGGCCTACCCAAAAAAATCATCAGAAACACAATCTGTTCTGAGAGCAAGAACAAGAACAGGGTTCTTCGAACATGCAGCCGACGTCTGAAAACAAGACAAGCTCGACAAGAAATATTATGATATCCCCTTGTGCAAACCAGAAAATCGGGGAACAAAAAGTTGCATAAACATAACAACTCGAAGATCCGCGCGGACTTCTCGGATCTGCGCTGGGGCGGCGCCAGAGGCGCCGCCAGGGCGCCCCAGCGCCGATCCGAGAAATCCGCGCGGACCTCCGAAAGTTTATGTTTATTTCAATTTTTGTTCCCCTAGAAGAAGAGATCCTTAACACACTCTGCGGTGGGCCTATCGGCGAGCCGGGACGCCTCGCCACTGCCTGACGCGTGCACGGAACTTCTCGAGGCGCACAAGGCCGGGGCCACGGGGGCGCCCCCCAGGCGACCCGGCAACTCCAGAGAGCGATCGCCCTCCCTGGAGATCCGACGTAGCGAAAAGATGAAGGGGGCCCCAGGACACACAAAAAAATACATACAAATAAGAAGATTCCCCATATTTTCCCTATGTTTTCTGATTTTCGTCTTCCCCCCCACTTCCCATGTTTTCCCATATTCTTTGGAAAAGACGATTCATTGTGTCTGTGTGTTGTTTCCCCTCCTGAGAAAAGATGACCGCGTCGTCACACAACTCTAGCCCCGAGCCCCATAGACCCCATCGTGCTGTGCCCTGCTTCGAGCCGCATCGAAAGCGGGGGACCAAGCACGCCCGGCTCAAACAAAAATGGAGACGCCAGGATCTCAGGGTCACGCTGACTCCGATATAAGGGAACAAAAAGTGACATAAACATAAAAACTGGGAAGTCCGCGCGGATTTCTCGGATCGGCGCTGGGGCCCCCCGGCGGCGCCTCCGGCGCCGCGCCCGTGGCGCGCTCCGCGCGCCAGGGAGGAGTGTCCAGCGCCGATCCGAGAACTCCGCGCGGAGCTTCGAGTTTTTCTGTCTATGCCACTTTTTGTTCCCCCTGCGATGCTCCCTGCTGGCCTGATCCCCTCGGCCTCCACCTTCCGCTGGGACATCTCCAGCGCCTCGGCTCGGCTCCGCGGCGGGGGGGGGGCCGGAGCACCGCCGGCCCGCCCGGCGCCCCGCGGGTCCAGCGATCAGCGATGCCCCGCCGACGGGGCAAGGGCGCCACGAGGACGAAGCCGGGAGGAGGACAATTTTTTGACTCGCGGGTCGAGAGCGCACCTCTTCCGGTCGAAGCTAAGCGGGCCGCGCGAAGCTTGAATTAACGAAGAGGGGGGGAAAGGGAAGGAGCGCAGCCTCACGGCGAGGCCAGGGAAGCAAAGGCCCGGGATAACGGCGGTGCGGAAAACCGACGTGCTTGCCACCGGGAGGAGGACATGTCCGGGTGAGGATCAGGAGCCGAGGCTCTCTGAGACTTCTGGCGGCTCTGGAGGAGGCCTCGGGCGCCGCGGCCTGCTCGGAGCGCTCCGGAACGCTCCGAGGGCGTTTCGGCACGCTCTGGGTAGGGGGCAAACAAACCTACCTCGCTTTTGACCACCCTCGCTTCCAAGAGATACCAAGCGACGCCAAACTACGGCATGTACTGGTCAGGCCGCTTGACGAGGAGGCGCGTGGTATGACTTGGTTTTGCCTGGAAGCGAAAGCGGGGTAGGTAATTCACGCTCTGACTGGGGCGGACTTCTCCGCGTCCCAGCCCCCGCCCGAGGGAGGCGCGGCAGGCGGTTGCCGCGCGGGGCGGCACCGCCTCAGGGAACAGATCGGATCACAGACGGCTGCACAAACGCGAATTGTTGGAGCTCCGGGGCGCGGGCCTCGGAAGGGTCCCTCAACAACTTGTCTGCGCACAATTCTGTATGATGCTTCGGAAGAACTACATGCGTCGCCCGATCCAGAATCGGCCTGGCGACGCTGTCATCGCACGAGTCCCGCTCGCGGGTGACACCTGGCCGACAGGTTTTCAAGGGCGGGTGAGAGGAGAAGGAGATGACACTTTTGGACCAGCCGGGAGGAGGAGACGACACAGGAAGGGGCTCTCTCTCTCTCTCTCTCTCTCTTCCGCATTCTCTCGCCTCACTACTTTCCCTCCCCCCTCATTTCCGACAAGGTGGGGTAGGGGCAGAGGCTTAGGTGAGGTTAGAGAATCTCCGAATGGGGAAGTGTGATCATCCAGCCGTGCTCTTTCCCTGACCCCACTCTGGGATACCCCCACTTACGAAACCCTCGTCTCTTGGCTTTTGACTCCCGAAATGGGTACGGACAAACATTTGTGACGATGCCATACAACACATGTTGTCCCAAAGCGACAGCGGCCGCTATTGGGCGGGCGTCCGCGGCCACACCGACAGCGAGCCCTGTTCAAAATGGAGAATGCTGCCGGTCCTCGTCCCATGTTTAGGTCGGGCGTGTCCTCCTGCAGGGGAATGTTGCTGAAACATAGAGAATTCGTCCCCTGATTCTTTTGAACTATTCTCGAATATTCCTCCTGTGGAAAATGTGCCCGGCTTACTCCCTTTCCGTATCAATTTCGATCGTCCCGATTGGTGGTGCGCCGTCGTCGGCGCCCATGTGGTCCATCGCATACCGCCCGGGTGCCGAAACGGACCTCCTTGATGGTCGCACGCGCACGCACCCGTCGTGATGGGCCTGGCGGCCTGGCGGCCTCGCCGCACTGGGGGAGGGGAGGAGGGGCGGGGGAGGGCTGCGGCAACGCGCAGCAGGAGGGAGGACGTGGAGCAAGGAGTGGAGAGGAGGATGCGGAATGGAGAGGGAGAGGAGGAGGAGGGGGAGGAGGAGGAGGAGGAGGAGGAGGCGGAGGAGGAGGAGAGGAGGAGGAGGAGGAGGAGGAGGAGGAGGAGGAGGAGGAGAAGGAAGAGGAGGAGGCGGACGAAGAATAGAAGGATGAGGGGGAGGAGGAGGATGAGGAGGAGGAGGAGAGGAGGAGGAGGACGAGGAGGAGGAGGAGGAGGAGGAGGAGAAGCAGGAGGAGGAGAAGGAGGAGAAAGAGGAGGAGGAGGAGGAGGAGGAGGAGGAGCAGCAGTGGGGCTTGAGAGAAGAGCGAGTAGGAAGGAGGAGGAAAAGGAGGAGGAGGAGGAGGGGGAGGACGCCCGCTCGGGGGCGAAAGGCAGTAGGAGGTGTGGAGATGGGGTGGAACGGAAAGGGAAAAAGAGAGAGAAAGGGGAGGCGGGAGAGGCAGGATAATTGAGGGACGGGATGGGGGAGGTGGAGGCGAAGGAGGAGGAGGAGGACGAGGAGGACCAGTCGACCCTCCCTCCAATAAGCTCCCTCTTCATAGGCCCCCTACAACGATTGCCTCGTTGGAAGACAACCGTTTGAAGATCCTGAAGCATGCCAAAAACATTTCTCTCGGGATTTCAACGCCACATGTCAGCCTGACTGCTGCGTCTTGACGATCCGGAAACAACCTAACTGTTGCACCCGCATAATCCTGAATCCGTCCAAGACACATGTTCTGCTACGTTGACCATAGAGATCCGTGAAACTCTTGCAAACATTGAAATTGAATGTGAGCGGCTTCTAAAGCGGGAACCAAAGTTTGAAAAGGAACCGCCCTCAAGTCGCGAATGCCTTGCAACTTTTGAAAGCGGATGTGCGCAACGCTGGGGCGAGGGCCACATTTTGAAAACGATCCGCCCTCAATCCGTGAAGCTCTTGCAATTTTAAAAAAGCGAATGTGCGCGGCGCTAAGGCGAGAACCACATTTTGAAAAGGAACCACCCTCCATCCGTGACGCTGTTTCAATTGTTTGAAGCGAATGTGCGCGGCGCTAAGGCGAGAGCCACATTCTGAAAACGACCCGCCCTCCATCTGTGAAACCGTCGTCACTTTTCAAGCTTCAGAATCATAAATGGTGAGGAAGTCTCAGGCGAAACGCCAGGACAGCCCTAAAAACTAGCCTCGGGGTGCGACAGGGAGGAGTTATCTATAAGGAGAAGGTTTGGAGGAAGAGGAGGGCAAGGAGGATGAGAAGGAGGAGAGAGGAGGAGGAAGAGGAGGAGAGGTAGCGAAGATCAGAAGCACGGGCGTGTGCAGCAAGGAGAGCCCAAGGAATACTGCTGCCGATGGGAGGACTGGTCCGGATGACGAGGGGTCCCAAGGAAGACTGAATGGGGGGGAGGAGGGGGAGGACCGACTGTCATTAGCTGGAGGGACGGAGGATGAGGAGGACGACGACGAGTGAGAGAGAGAGAGAGAGAAATGAACCCATTCCTCAATTGTTCGCAACAACGCCCATGACCGACCGCGCCACCCCCGCCACCCTTCCCCCCATTCTTGGGCACTCCCAACCGGCGCCGGTGCCAGTCGTGACGTGACCTGCCCCCTCCCCCCGTGAGGAGGAGGAGGAGACGAGCGTGCCAGCAGAGCAAGGTGCCAACAGACTAGCCCGCTTCCAGCGGAGCGCACATGCGGACTGACCGCAGTGCCGCCAGAGCAGCCGACTTCAACTGCTGAGGGGGTATGGGGCTAGGCGAAAACCTCAGATCATGATAGGTCTTGTAGGCAATAGCAACCTCCTCGACTACCTCGACGGATGGAGCAATGACACCCCACCGGCCGAGCGGGCAGATAGGAGCGAGGTCACGATCAAGGGCATTGGAGAGGGCCCAGCCGAGCTGTGGGCAGGTGGCGTAATGACACTGCCTGTCAGGATAACTCTCGCACACGAAAATGCACGCACGTCTGCCGAAAGGTGTGAGGATGCGGTGAGAGGTGCACCAGCCACCAGCAAGAGTTCGGAGGGTGGGCCAAGCCCAAGAGGGGGGAACGGAGAGGAGAATAGCCTGTAGAGTACCCCATGGCGCGGCCGTGATCTCGGCTTGGCGGTGGGGCCACCACTTCGTGAGCCTCTTTTGGAACAGAACTGGTAAAGGTGGGCCCGGACGGGCCCGGCATGCAGCCTCGATGGCCCAACGCTGCCAGCGCGGACGGGCGCCAGTGGGGGCGGTGAGGGGGGGAGCGAGAGAGGCAGCAGCAGCAGCAAGAGAGAGATCGATCGGGTAGTTCGTGGCTTGCGGGGTCGGTCGCACCGCTCGCTCCAGATACTCAGCAAACGCGGGGCTCTTCCAGAAGTTCGGAGCAAGGGCTTTCGTCCCCAGCATTTCCAAGGTAATCTCGTCCCCCAAGTTCTGAACATGGTGCCGGAGACCTTCCAAAAACCTGTGGTGCTCTGGGAGGGTGTGGTGAGCCGTACGCGCGATGATACCAAGCCCGTAATGCATCCAGTCACAGATGTCGGGACCACCCCAATACCCCAAAGAAGTCCAACTGGCTTGGTCAAAAGCTCCAAGAGGTAGCCGGAAAACCTGGGCAAGCACGGACAATTGATGCCGCAGAACCTCACGAGGAAAAGGGACCAATTGGGCAACGTAGCTGAGCACCGGCATCACACGCCCTTTGTATAAAACCGTGGTTTCGCTCATAGGCGTGGGGCCTGCGCTCAAAGCCGCCGCTCGGTCACGCACTTTACGAAGGGGGCCCACAAAGGAACGTCCAGGGGTAACCGCCGGGCCCATCCAGAATCCAAGGTACAACAATTCAGCGACCACCTCGAATTCAACCCACTCCGGAAGGAAGGTGCGCAGGAAATCCTTCATGGCCTGCAAAGTGTTTTCGGACATCGCCGCGAACAGTGGTACAATCTTGCATTTCTTAGGCTTCAAGATCAGAGTGGCGATGCGAGCAGCAACTTGCATCACCCGAGCGAGCCTCCTCATCATCGTCGCAGATTTAAGCAACCCCGAGATCGTCCGCGCACGCCCGGACAGCCCCCATACCCTTCTTCTCAATGCAGAGTTCCAGGTCGGACAGGAAGGGGGAGAGAGCGAGAGCAAACAAAGATCCTGATAACGCACACCCTTGGATGATGCCAGACATCACCCAAAACGCATGATAAACATCCCCGTGCGAAGCCATAATCCCCTGGATGACAGAGTAGAGGTGGACGATGAACGAGATAAGTGGCCCAGGACACCCCATGGCCGTAAGGATCAGGAAAAGAAAGTGATGATGAAGGCTAGGAAAGGCTTGAGCGATGTCGAGGGACACGAG